TGCCCAGGGTCACGTAGGGGGTCTGCAGCAGGGCCGGGTGTTAGGTCAGGCTCCCCAGAGCTCTAGGTCAGGGCCTGGGCTGTGCATGAGCTTCTGCCTCTCTGCCACTGAAAGCTGGTTGTAGCTGTCAGGAGGCAGAATCCAGAAGCTGGTTGAAGAAGCCCTTGTTGCAGGATCTTGTGCATTATTTAGGCAAAATCCTCCAGCCTGTGTTAGGCAAGAAGTCAGGTTAGATAATTAGAGTGGTCCTAACCGGTCCGAAAGCCTCCCAGCTGGCTGTGCTCTGGGCTGGGGTGAAAGGCCAGATTTCTCACAACAGCAGAAACAGGGCGAAAGAGAGGAAGACGATTGTCAAATGCTCTGCTTCCAAAACCATCGCCTATTTTTTGCAAAGAGCTCAACACCTGTGGTGCTCTGCTTTGGGAAAGCTTGTTGCACGTATGGCCTTGGAAGTGTTGACTTTCTTACTGTTCACCTGTTCCAAAACAGGAATCCTGTGCATTGATGAACAGGGTTTCGTATCTTTCCTGGTACCCCTCTGGGTGCCCTGGCTGCACACTCTCTGGTAAGATGCAGAACTGGCTTTTTGCCTCCTGCCAAGATCAGGCTCCAGGGGGGCATTTTTTTTTCCAGAAGAGAATGTGTGTTTTTGCTGGCAAGCTCTGTCTAAGCACTGGCTCTTTCCGAACTCGTGATGCCAATGCTGGTTTTATATATTTACTTCCTTTATAAGGACATCATCAGGCACCCCACCCATCCCAAGTTTTGTGTCCCTCGATAGGCTTCTATTTCACAATAAATCCTGAAATACAATGGAGCGTTCCTCCCAGAACCAAAATAACTTGTAGACTTCATTAGTGAACTCTACAGCCAGGGACAAAATTTGTTCCCTGCTTGACATCCCTTAAACGATGGGCACGACAACGTGCCCTCAGGGCTATGGTATCTGGTAAGCCAGGCGGAGAGGGGAATCCTGGCTCTGCTAGAGCCAGTGGGTGTTCCCCTGCAGTCAGGATTTCATCCAAGGCTGTGCTGAAGTGGGGAGGGGTGGTTTTTCCTGCCTTTTCCGTCCTTAGGGCAGGGTAGCCTTTCCCACCCAGATTGCAGTCAGATATGCCGTGGCGTTACGCCGTTGCCAAGCTCTGGTGTTGCCTTTATGTGACACTTTCTCTTGACAATTTACATCAACTAGCATCGTGATACAGCTGATCTGTGTGGAGCGACGGAGACAGGGACCATCGGAAGGCAGTTCAGGAGCTTTGGTCCTTCTCCACTGATTGTAAAGAGAGCCTAGAGAGATTAGGCTTCTAATGTAGATGCCTTAATTAAGTGCCTAAGGATTAGCTGGCATGAGTCTGACCCCAAATGCCCTTCCTAGGCAGATGCTGAACTAGCACTGAACTTGAACTGGGACATGGGTCTGGAAGAGACCTTCTCAGCTGTTAAGTCTCTGGGAACCATGTTTAGCCCAAAAGCATTCAGAGGCTGCTCACCCCTCCTACCCCGAGGCACACGGACCTGCAGAACTCCTTCCCAACCTTGCAGCAAACTCATGGCTTGATAGACCTTGATAGGGTTTGTTCTTTTATTGGTAATATACCGCAGATGGAGAAATCAACAGTGTCCCTTATGTCTTGAAGCCTTGTACCATCAGGGGAGAAGCTGGGTGAAAGTGCCCAGCCAATCTTAAGAATTGCATCTTATCTGCAAACTACAGAAGGCGGCAAAAAGCAGGGGACAGGGCTCCTTCATGGCCCTAAATCTGGCCAGTGGTTTAGCCTAAGCATATGAGCAGGATGCATCAGTACTTGGGTAACGAACAAGGAAATTAAATTCCTGTGATTCAGACCAGCTAGCTGGATGAACCTCACCATCTCTGCCGGGCCAAGTTTATGTTTGATGTCCTTTCCGTGAGGCTCAGAAAGTGAAGAGTGATTTTCTGTGATCCCCTCCAACAGTGACTTTTGCTAAGGCTGGCCAGCCATGAGAATGGAAACCTCCCCGTAAGGAGCAGTCCTGAGAGCCACCAGCGTGTCCTGTGGACGACCGAGCGCCTTTGAGACAGGGGACAGCTTTGAACTCATTGAGGGCTGGGTGAGTGTGATTCCCCTTACTGTGCTGCTTGTACCTGGTTTTTATTTTGGCTTCTGCAGGCAGAGTGCCACTGGGAGAGATCACACTGGGCCAAAAAAATGTGTGGGTACTTGCCTTAATTTTAGCCTTTTACATGATTTTTGGCAATTATCTAAATGTCTTCTTTTTTTAATTACTATAAATTCAGGAAAGCCACTGGCTGGGGATGGTGAATGAACCTAGAAGAACGTAACAAGGTGAATTAAACACCCACTATTCTTTGCTTGGGGGAGATTTTAAGCAGGGTTGACATCTTCATCCCTTCACTTAAGGCAGCTCAGGCAAAAAGAAGAGATGCAAATTGGTGTGAACTTGGGTGTTTCCTCCCTTTGATCATTCTGAGTCATTCAACCTTCATGTTCTTCTCTGGCTTCTTGGCAAGTGGCATGTCCACTGGGGTGAACAGTTCAGCTGCCAGCATTAGGGGTAGTTTTGGTTGTCACAGTGCCCTAAGAAAATCTTGGACCATGGGTGTAGGGAGCTCTCTAACGCTCATCCTTCATGTCCTGCTGCTCCTCTACTTTTTTTTCAGCTTGTGGTAAAAAGCTCCCTTTGTGGCGGAGTTGCTCTGGGCTGCAAGAGGCAAAGTGAGCTCCTCTGTCCCCAGAAACCCTCGCGTGGAGGGCTTGATGCTGCTCTTGGCACATTGCAGTGACGATACTGGTGCAGGGTGTTGGTTCCATCATCCAGTGAAGGAGGTAGAGTGGATCCAGGTGCTTGCCTCTGGGCAAGGCAGGGGAGGCAGCTGGCCACGGCAGAGCGAAGGTGGCTCGAAGGACGAGCAGGATTGCAACTCTGTACGTTTTACTTACGCTCCTGTTCTGGGAAGATGAAAGCATTCAGGTGGATGATGATGAGCAGCTTGGTAAGGATGTTTCATAATCGATTTATTCTTTATTTTTGTGGTAGGTTGAAAACTTCATCAGCCATCATAATGCTGGTTTAGTGCTGAATGCTCCCCACAAAACTCCTGACAGGTGAGTGAGCATTATGATTTTGGCTGAACAGTTCCTTTGAGGTCATGCAGCAGGTTAAAAGCAATTCCGAAAGCAGAATGTGGAAGATCATGGCTCAAGGTGCAACTGCTGCTTCTTGGACAAGGAGCAATGTACGAATTGAGCCATACATTAAGCTCTGTCCTTGTAAAACAGCACAGATATCACACCTTCAGATGCCCCGTATAGCTTGGAATTCAGCTGTGGTTTATATTCTTGCTGTGGAAGAAAATGAGAAGGGAGGTGTGTAGCGCTTTATCCCCGTCTTATTTACAAGCGGTGGGAGAATGTCCTGCAAAATGTGAGCAGCTAATTTTAGGCGACAACATAGTTCAAGGTGCCAAGCCTTCCAAAAGGGGAAGGAATGTATATCCAGCTAGACTGCCATTAGCTCCAAGCTGATCTAGGGCACTGGGTGTTTATACCACCCCCAGGACATTAAATCTTTTGTGCGGAGACGTAATCCTTCGTTGTGACATTAGTAGAGGTAGCTGTTACAGAAATGATTGTGAAATCCCTCATCTTATGGAAGAGGAGAAGCAGGAGGTGCAGCTGAGGTGGTTTGCGCTGTGCTAATGCTCTCCAGCCCCAAATCCCAAGGAGCTTTCCAAGTGCTAATTGATTAAGAGTCGGAGTTGTCCGTTTTCAGCAGTTGACAAACAGTGGCAATAGGGAGCGTGGAGGCTGACACAAGGACCTGAAAGGACCCGAGTAAAATACAGGGCTTGACTCCCAGCTAAAATGTCCTACACTTGGAGGCAGGAAGGAAGGAGGCTGAATTTAAGTGACCCACTACACACTCCCTGTATTTTTCTTCACCTTCTGTCCTACTTCCCAGCACACTCTGCTGGGATGTGGTAGGGACTGTATGGCACAGCGCATTCTGCCTATGCTCCTGTCCCCTGCTTTATGCTGGCCCAAAGTAAGGATACGGATCTTGCACCACTTCTACCCTGGAAAGGTCCTGGACTCGAAGGCACGGCTCCATCTTTTTAGGCCACCTCACGTGCAGCGCGGAGGATTCCTGTCCAGTACCCAACCTGCTCTGTCACACCCCAGGCCAGCAAGGACTAAGAGTGCCCTCTGCTGCACTCCTTCTCCTCATCTTTCCATGGCAGCATTCCGCTTGCTGTTTGGGAATAAACAAAACAACTCTTTTAAAACACAAACCCAATCTTTCATATTCTAAAGGTCTTTTTGTGCAGGCTGTGCAGAAGCCTGGTTCTGTATTTCAGCAGCAAACAGAAAAGACCATGCCCCAAGATAAAAACATGCGATATCCTGCATCGGTCCCGAGGTGCAAATAAAGCACTCCAGGGAACTGCTGTCCTTTCTCAACAACCTTCACCCCGTAGCTTTTCATTGCCTCGTAAAACAAGCAGCTCCTCATTGCAGGAGCTCAGAGAGCGGTCTTTATATTCATGAAGCTTTCATTTCTCAGAGCTGGCAGGAGCAAGCGCTGGTGATGCACAGTCAGTTGTGGTACCTAATTGCGCCTAACAGTGCTGAACTTTCCATCGCTCCCTCCTGTTCAAAGGAAAAACATCGAGCACCACAAAGCTCTGCTTATTTAAGTCCTCGGCTCCTGCAGCCAAAAAGGAAAGGAAAGAGGAAAAATTAAAAAATAATAATCCTGCTTTTACTGGGATTTGATTTACCCACGTGGAAAGTAACCAAGCTGCCGGCTGTGCCGGCAGCCCCGCAACCGCCAGGGCCACAGGAATCTGCTCATGTTCCCTGGAATTTGGACATTTTTCGTTGCACCCATTTCAGCTTGCTTTCCAGACTGTCACTCAGGCGCGGGGCACGCCCCCTCCAGGAGGCTATTTAAAGAGGAGCTGGTGTGCAACTTTCTCCAAAGAGAGAGGAGAAACTCCGAAGGCGAAGGAGTGAGTCAGTCGGCAGCCTGAATCCCCTCCCTTCCCTTTACTCGGGATGTCTGGCAGCGTGGGGACAGTGACCTGGACCCTGTTCCTCCTCCTCCTCCTCACACCTGGCTGGGTATGTATCGTGCCGCAGCAGCTCCGTTTGCTGGCTGGGCATTGCAGCTTCTTGCTTTGATGCATGCGAATGCTTTAGGCTGAGTAACCCTTCCCAGCTGCCACCTGCCTCCAAAGGTTTCTGAGAGAAGGTTGGCTCTTAGCAGAGCAATGCAAATGCACTGTGTAACTAAATCATGCCCAGAGCTGCCTCGTGCGTAACGCCTGTCATCTGCGGATCTCCAAGCTCTCGGCAAACGTGAATGGGTTTTGTTTCACTCCACTCTTGTGAGCTAGAAGCCAGCCCTGGTTTATGAGGGGGGGGAGAAGAGAACGGGGAGAGGTGAAGTCACTGAGTTTATGTCACTGCAATGAATAAAAGTCTCAGGTCTCAGGTCCTTACCATCACTGTCCTTCCCCAGCTGCCACTGAATCCACCCCTGAGTTCCAAAAAGCAGTGGTTCTGAGGGGGAAATCAGACTGCAGCCTCTCGAGAGCAGCGTTTGTGCCTGGTTTTATGTTAATACAAGTGCTTGACAGAGCAGCTGATTCTGCTTAGGACTTGTGTGTGCTCTTACACTGCCGCTAATAGCAGGAACATCGCTGCAGTCATTAACGTATCTAAATTGCAGCAAGTGCCTCTTGGACCGGTGAAGAAATCAGGTTCACAGAGCCTCTGCGCCTTTGGAGGCTCATTGAGCTGACAGATGCAATGAACTTCTGGTTGGTAAGGTCTGCTCGATTGCTCCTGGCAGCACGCAGCACGTGCCAGCCCCTTTCCTGCCGGGAGAGGTGTCCCGTGCACCTAACACTGCTGTCACCGAAGGGTAACGTCTGTCGTTTGGGATGATCTTCATGTTTCTTGCACTGACCCAGCTTTGGCAGCATCATATGGGTCGTCTAAACAAAAGCAGTGAATCCCACCGGTGTGACACTTTATTATTACTCTGAGATGATGTCATTTTCCCTAAACCTGCCGACTGCCTTGGAAATGGGATTTTTTACTTACTTTGAGCTCTGAGAGCTGTTGCTGTTGCTCCTGAATCTGCCTCCTGTGTTGTTCAGAGGTGTGAGTAGAAACCAGGATTGCTGGGGGTTATGCTTAGCTCTGCCAGGCTCAGCCTGGGCAAGTCTCGGTGCCTCTGCTCTGTCTGTGAAACAGGGGCAGCGGTTCTCGCCTCCCGTAACGGGCCCTTGTACACCGTGCTGCAGCCTCCTGGGCAGGTGCCTTGAGAGCCTGTGCTGGAGGCAGAGCAGGTATTATCTGTGACAATTCAGTCTTTGCAGTATGTGAGTAGCTTTGTGTTTTGACTGCTGGTCTACTGCCAGTCTTGGAGCTTGAAAGAGAACCAGTTACGTGTTTATTATATTACTTCTTCCTCGCAGCGTTAACCCCTGGCTCCCAAAGCACTTTGCTAACAGCCAGCTCAGCTTTAAAACACTCCTTTCCCAGCCCTTTGAATGCAGTCATGAACCCAAACGCATTTTAAAAATCCTCTTTAGCTTGGCCCTCATACCTGGTTCCCTGGGCTCGTGTGGACATTGACTGGTCAGGAATGAGAAGGTCCTGACGATGCCACAGAACTGCTGCAGCAGTGTGAGCTCATGTTGCCCCACCTTGTGCCTTCCTGAAGGCGTAGGAGGAAGAGGTTTTATGGGAAGATGAAGCAGGAAGAACATTCTCACTTTTTCCTTCCCCCCAGGTAACTGGGTTCAGTGCTGGCAGTTGGGAGGAAGCTTGTTCTGGCTTGTCAGCTGAGCAGCTGGGAGCTGGGAGTCAGTGGTGGAGAACGCACGTGGAGCACAGGCAAGGGACTCCTCTAGCCTGACTGTTCTTACTCCCCTTGTGGCTTGGCCATCGCTCAGGGGTCCTGAATCACAGAATCGTTTAGGTTGGAAAAGACCTTTAAGATCATCAAGTCCAACCGTTACGCTAACCCTGCCATCCCACCACTAAACCATGTCCTGGGAGCGACAGATTCACACATGGTGTTTGTGATCGATACGAGAGCTGCCTGCAAAGCCAGGAGCAGGGAGAGCTGATATTCCAGGCTTCAGCACTTTCTTAAATCTATAGACTCGATCTCTAATACTGGTTCTGTTCTGCTGCTCTTGAAGTTCCCAGAAATGCACTGCTAACCTCAAGGTCAAGGCTAGGGTGAACTTGAAGTTAGGATCCTGCTCAGTGAAGGTAAAAGTGTAATTTTGGAGAGAGACCCTTCTGCAGAGGGGAAGAAAATTAAATGTTCTCTAAGCTGAATCCCTCTGCACCCCGGTCGGTGGCACGTTATGTGGAAATGCTGGTCTCTGTGGTACGCATGGGTCTGTAGCAAAGCCCTGAACGTGAGTCCTTGCAGTTCTTTGGGATAGTTTGGGCAGTTTCCTCACTGCATTGAAACAACTCCTAGAAGCAGTCCTTGAAAATAATGCAGGGTGGAGGGTGCTCCATGCAAATCCAGTGTAACCCGTTGCTTAGCCTATTTGAAATTGCCGTGAAAGCAAATTAAGTAATGGAGAACTCTAGGAAGTTGGTTCAGTGTTGACTTTCTACCAGCTGTTCCCAACTTAAGAGGATCCCTTTCCCAGCCGGTTATTCAGTGCTCACCATCGAGTGTGCATGAGCCAAAAAATATTTCAGCTCATGCTCTCCTCTCTTGGGCTCAGGAGAGGAACGGGGGTTATAAATAGCGCGAGCTCAGTCATAAAAAAAGCAAACAGGAGCCCCAACACACCCTGGGGCCGGGTGGACTGGGTGATGGAGAGAGGCATGGTGGAGCTGACTGATGGGAAAATCTCAAAGTGTCGAGAAGAGCCCAGCAAATATGGATAAATTGGGTCTTTAAAGCCGTGCTTCTGCTCACAGGTGGGGGAAAAGAGGCACAGAAGAGGTAGGGGTGCAGAGTCACCCGGCAGGCTTCTGGTAACATTGGAGATCTGAATCCAGATGTACTTGTGCTGAAAAGCAGCTGTAATATAACGAGGAAGCGAAGCCGATTGAGAACAGAAGGTAAAACCAGGTGGTCTGGTTTCTGTGGGTGAGCTATTAAAGGAAATAAACAGCACCAACAATGATTAACGAAGGCGAGAAAGAAAACTTGGTTGGGTTTAATTCTGTTGCGTCCTCTGTTATCCCGAAGGAGGTTGTTTTGGTTTGTTTTTCAGTAGGAGAGCTATTCTGAGAGTGTTTCTTTATATGGCCTGTGGCTGACACTGCATTGGAAAATGCTTGTTGTCATTATTTTTTTTTAAGTGCATGGATTGCATCTTAATATAGGTCCTGTGTTAGGAATCCTTTGCCTCTTTTATGATCTCATGTACCCCCCACCCACTGATCCGTGGTTGAATAACACGTCCTTCTGGCAGCTACAGCGGTCGCACACATGAAAAACAGTAGGAAAGCATTTCTGTATTTTTAGTGTCTTTTAATGGACTTCAGCAGTCGGGAAGAGACCCCTGCGACACGCCAGCTCCCAGCGAGTGGCCCCGAGGCTGCCGTCTGCAAACAGCTGGGCTGCAGGCAGGAGAGGCTTGTTTTCAAAATACTTTGCGCTAGGAGTTTTCAGGGGGAATGATGCCGATTCCT